GTCCTCCCACGGGCAACAATTTAACATGTACAGTCCTCCCACGGGCAACAATTTAACATGTACAGTCCTCCCACAGGCAACAATTTAACATGTACAGTCCTCCCACAGGCAACAATTTAACATATACAGTCCTCCTTAGTAGAGTTAACAGAAGTATTGTGGGAATATGAAGAAATGGTAATCATACAAGTAAGTTTATGTATTATGTTTCTCATCACGTAAAAAAATTTAATACGAAAACTGACAACATTCTTTCTTTACTTTTACCTTGATTTTTTACATTTATTGTGAAGGCCATTTGACATGTTCTTGTTTGAACTAACTTTATATCTGTTAAGTTTAACATTCTAATGAGAAAAATATGTAACAAGTTAGTTATTTAAGGAAGTTTGGGATGTGTAAATTCACTTATGCCAAAAATGCATTTAAGTACTGAACACCAGACAACAAAGTTTAAGCCTTGTGCAATCATCTTCAAACTACTGACAAGGTTTTTAACAAACTATAAGATACTGACCACAGATTATTTACATATTTGTTTGATTTTAGATAAAAGGTAAATACTCTTACTGTTCTCTGTACTCTCAACAGTAATGTCCTCCATGCCTCTGGATACACCTTCCTCATTGGCTGACTGTATCTTGAAGTTGTAAGCAACATTAAGGTTTAAATTGGAAAAGGTATACTTAATGTCCGTTACTTTCACAGGCTTCTCTGACACATCTCTTTTCCAGTTCAGGCTGTAAGTGGGTTTGTAATAGATGACATAGTGAAAATCTTTTCCATTATAATGCTCCTCTGGTATAGGCTAGAAAATATTGCAAAGAAATAGACTTGATGACTTGCAGATGAAAATCATTATAATATAAAATTAATGCTCAAAAAGTGAAATATTTGAAGACTTAATATTTAAACATAAAATACATAGAATTGTGTTTGATTAATAAGGAAGGATCCAACTTACAAAACCAGGTTTACTATAATCGTCTATGAATTAACATTCAAGTGATGAAATTACACAATACAGAACAACATCAAAACAGTTACAATCTTCTGAAAAGCTTCAAATTATATTGTTAAAACCATACCTTCCAGTATAATGTGATGCTTCTTCTATCAGTCAGTTTCTATTGTTAAAAACCATACCTTCCAGTATAATGTGATGCTTCTTCTATCAGTCAGTTTCTGGACTTCAAACGACCCTTCTGTCATATTTGGTACATAGTAGGGAACTGAATTAATGAAAAAAGTACAGGAAATATTGAAGTATCTAAGACTGATGATTGTTTAATCTAAAACAATTTACATTACGTTTGGATAACGTGTTGAGCTTCGTCTACAAATGGCTATCTATAAAAGGTAGATAGAGAATGTTACATCATCCAAAACGCCATCTTCACTACCTAACACAAACAGGCTGTAAACTCAGGAAATTATAACCACTGGAAAAATTCACAATATGAACTAATATGTTTTCATAATTTTTTTTTTACATTTTATAGCATTGTGCCTCCAGATATTTTGATTTATGCCACTGACATCACGATCATAATACTTACAGAACAACTGTACCAAAGATTTGTTTGTTATCATTTTAAAACATAAACAACAGATAAAATAGTTGTTCAACTAATAACAAAAACCCTCAGACTAAAATTAAAGACTTACCCTCAGTAACAAAGAAACAGTTGTCAGCCATAAATGGTAAAATAAAACTTCACGAATGTTGAACATTACATGCACCATCCTTACACCACTACAAGCACTATACACACCATCTTTATACCACTACATACACCACACACACCATTTTTACACCACTACAAGCACAATATACACCATCTTTATACCATTACAAGCATCACACACACCATCTTTATACCACTACATACACCATTTTTACACCACTACAAGCATCACACACACCATCTTTATACCATTACAAGCATCACACACACCATCTTTACACCACTACAAGCACTACACACACCATCTTTATACCATTACAAGCACAATATACATCATTTTTATACCATTACAAGCATCACACACACTATCTTTACACCACTACACTACGCCATCTTTACACCACTACAAGCACTACACACGCTATCTTTACACCACTACAAGCACTACACACACCATCTTTATACCACTACAAGCACTACACACACCATCTTTATACCACTACAAGCACCACATGCATCATCTTTACACCACTACAAGCACTACACACACCATCTTTACACCACTACAAGCACTACACACACCATCTTTATACCACTACAAGCACCACACAAATAATTTTTATACCACTACACACACCATACACACCATTTTTATACCATTACAAGCACAATATACACCATTTTTATACCATTACAAGCATCACACACACACACCATCTTTATACCACTACAACCACATGCACCATCTTTACACCACTACACACACCTTCTTTACACCACTACAAGCACTACACACACCATCTTTACACCACTACAAGCACTACACTCGCCATCTTTACACCACTACACACACACCATCTTTACACCACTACACACACCATCTTTACACCACAACAAGCACTACACACGACATCTTTACACCACTACAAGCACTACACACGACATCTTTACACCACTACAAGCACTACACACACCATTTTTATACCATTACAAGCATCACACACACCATCTTTATACCACTACAACCACCACATGCACCATCCTTACACCACTATAAGCACCACACACATAATCTTTACACCACTACATCTCTAATAATAAAAACACCATAATTTGTATTTTAAAGTTATTAATGAAATAACAATCTACACAAAAAGAAATTAACTGATTTTCCTCAGTCCTCTAGTCTGACTCCAGACTGGTGCAGGAATTTTAACTATAATTCTGATTTTATTACCTGTATTTACATGAAACATGAGAAGATCTCAGTAAAATGAACAAATCTGTTGTACACAAGAAGGTAGATATGTTACAAAAGTATTTGTACTCAAGATATGTATGGAAATTGATGATGTCAGTCTGATTCAGGCTCTTGACAAGTCGGAGTGTAGATAATGTTTTGTAGATAATAAAAATCTTACAGCCTGTATATTGCATTTTTATAACTTCTAGAACCTTCAAAATGCATATCTACAGCTTTTATCATTATCCTTGTATATTCCCACCCATAGATGCAAGATTAATAGATAACAACATCTACAGATCTCTTCTTAATAATCGCTCGATATCACACTTCTTGTAAATAGACTATACCTTCTCAAGGTTTACATATACAAATAGGAACTATCTTATAAATAGGCCTAGCAACTAGGCCTACTATTGATTGAGTTGTTGTTTTTAAAATCAGTACGATTAGTTTTTCTAGATCTTTAAGTCACAGCTGTGGAGGATAGACTGGTACAGACAGACATACTTATTTAATGAAGTAATGTTATGGTTTAACTATCAAACATTTCTTTCTTCTCTTATCAAAAGATCTTTAAAATAATTAATTTTAGAAAAAGCCCAAATTCATTATAAAACTACAAACAATGATAAGCTCATTTAAAAAACTATAATAGTAAAGTTATAATAAAAAGAATCCACATGAACAACATTGTGCTTTAATTTATTTGCACTGTTGTGCTATTCTTACCATCAGGAGCAGTCCGAGCAAGTGTGCTCACTCCCTTACTCCACATATCTTCCCCACTTGCTTCTGCTGAGCGACAGCGAACTGATAAGTCATAGGCAGTGTTAGGCACTAATCCCATCAAATTATGAGTTCCAATATTTTTTCCCAATTTGATAATCTGTTTTGTAAAGGCAGAGAATGTTTATTATCTTAACATTAATCTATCTTTACAATGGAGAAAACTATTGTCAAACTTCATACAGTTCAAAATAAAATGAAAAATTGTGTGGTTAATAGACTAGTACATGATAAAAATCCTGAAACACTAAGCAATGTGATAATCTGAAAAGTAGTTTTTTGGATTATTCAATGGCCTAACTTCTTCTTGTTGAAGCCAGAAAAAAATTAGTTTGGTTGATATGAAAAAAATCTCTGCATTAGTTAAAAAACAAGCTTTACATAAAACATTCATATGTTTAAAAAAACATTATTTGGAAGTTTCTTCATATTAAAACTTCAAATTGTGTTTGTTTTTCAATTGTGCATAAAGCTACTCGAGGGCTATCTATGCTAGCCATTCCCTAATTTGACAGTGATAGACTAGTAAAATTATCCTATTATGCTTTGAAATACTAGTAGGTGCATCAAAATAAAATACCTGTTGAAATCTTCATGAGGAAGACTATAAACCTAAAATATTACCAGTTTTTCATAACAATACATAAAGTATTGAACATCTAAACATACATAATTCAAGGAAAATCTCTAAGATGGCCGATTCTCTGAGTGCTAAATTTCACTTATTCTCTGCTTCCTTTAGTTGATACAAAACATCTGAACATCTAAACATACATAATTCAAGGAAAATCTCTAAGGTGGCCGATTCTTTGAGTGCTAAATTTCACTTATTCTCTGCTCCCTTTAGTTGATACAAAATATTTTATCCATCAGTTTAACTTTAGGAATAATAAAGTGGCTTAAAATACAGAAGATTAAATATCATGAGAATAAAGTTTCATAAAATATTATACATGCATATTAATATACCAATATACGTGTTCTTCATATCCAAAAACGTTATGAATCTTTACCTGAGCAATACTGACTTAAGTACTAATATAAAATGCTAAAACTGCTGGAGCAAGGAGACTAAAGTTTCATAAAATATTATACATTCTTATTAACACATAACAAGTACAAACCTTCCACGTTTCATTTTTACTATTGTTAGGTTTATATAAAAGCTCATACACAAGGCCAGGTTGAAAATCCCAGGTGGCAAAGTTCTTAGGGGGTAACCAGTTGAGTTTAATGTTAGTTGGTGTTTCCTCTGAAGCCTGCAGCTGAGAAGGTTTGTCGGGTAGAACTGGTTGAGGGAAAACATAATATCAGAAATTACGGTAATTTTGTGAAGTACAAAAACAATTCAGTGCCCCCCGGTTATAATGCTGGGAAGGCACGGCAATCTGCGTTATGAGACCTACCAAGGTATAACTGAGGAAATGGTCACATTACCCTATACACTATGTACATCGAACTTTTTAATTATATTTAATTCCTAAAAATATAAAAATATGTAATGACATCAATATAAAGTCAGTACACTGAATTTATTTAGTAAATCATTTCTTTAAAAAGTCCTGGAGTTTCATCCAATTTATCTAAGAACAAATGTAGCCTTCCTTTTTTTCTGTAATCCATCAGATTATTGTACCATCTGGGATACCCAACTCCCTTTTACTTCTCACACTTTTTACTCTTTCAATAATTGTTAATTTTTCCTTAATGGTGTACAACTTTCTCCATTACCTATAAAAAGACTAATATAATAATACAGGATAATTCTACATCTATAAACCTCACACAGTAATCAGATAATCACACCACTAAAGACTGAATCTGAGTGGAGAAAGATAAACAGTGGAATGTTCCTAGTTGGGTAAGTCCAATGTAAAATGTAGGGGGAGGACCCGTGGTATATTTGAATCTTCAGTATAAGCAACAATGTTGTAATAGCAGCAAACTATAACCTGAAATTAACTGAATAATTTTAGACCATTGAACCATTAGTTTTATGTTAATAACTGTTGTTTCTATATAATTAACTTCTTGAACAGTTTTAGAACAGAGAAACTTCTAGTCTTCAAACTCAAATATGTTTCTGAAAACTTCACTCTCCAAACAATGTTTAGTTCTTCTAGCTTAGATCTACTGCTGAAAACTTCACTCTGTAAACAATGTTTAGTTCTTCAAACTTAGATCTACTGCTGAAAACTTCACTCTGTAAACAATGTTTAGTTCTTCAAACTTAGATCTACTGCTGAAAACTTCACTCTGTAAACAATGTTTAGTTCTTCAAACTTAGATCTACTGCTGAAAACTTCACTCTGTAAACAATGTTTAGTTC